TAATAGGTATTTACAAATGTTCATTCATACAATATATTATATATATTTTTTTTTATCTGCTAATACTGTTAAATTAAACACAAATTCCTTTAATTATCCAATATTTTATCTGTACTCCTGAATCGCCTCTACTTTCTTCTTACTTTATTGAATTCACTTAAAAGTTTTTTCTTTGTTTTTCGTTTTTGTTTTTCTGAGTGCAGGAGGCCACAAAAATGTTATTTCTACCATGGCTTACATATTGCAAATAAATTGTATACAAAAAATACACATAACAAATAACATTTTTGCTTGATGTGTGTGTATGCGTGTGTGTGCTATATACAACAAATATTTGCTCAGAATGCAAACAAACAGCAACAACAAAAATACAAAATTAATGCTTACAAAAAAAAAAAAAGAAGAAAAACTAGCTGAGAACTTGGCAATTGAGCTTACTCGAATGAGTCATGCCTGCTCATGTGACCTCGGCTTGAACTCCCGATGAACATGCTTTTTACAATTTTCTGAAATATTGAAATATTAACAATAATTGATCTAACTATTTATAAAGGAATGCTAGAATTTTAGAGTCAATACATAAATATACAAAAATAAGAATAAAATAGATGAACATCGGAACGAATATGCTCGATTTGTCCTACATGAACCAACATGCGAGAGAAAACACTTTAAAGTTTCATCAAGGATTTCCGTAACATATGAAATATTGTAAGCAACAGAGAAAAACATAAGCTCGTTGGCTGTACCAAAAAAAAAAAAAAAAAAAAAAAAAAAAGAATAGAATAATTACAACAACAACCACAACTGCAACAACATAGGGGGAGAGGGAGAGAGTGAGAGCCCTTGAAAATGATTACAATATGAATTTTGGTAGGAAGTTTCTGTAATTAAACAAGCATAAAATGCTAGCTGTAGGGTTGATCAGAGAGACAGAGAGAGAGAGAGAGAGGGAGAGTGAGTGCAATAGGCAGCGACCCGCACACACACTCTCTGTCCTGTGAGCCTTCGAGCGTGTCCTGTCGCGCACATCTGCCGCGGCGTTGATTTCCACGGCACGCGGGGTTGCAACTAGTTGTGCTCAAAGTGGTGGAAATTATGACTGCAAACCAGAA